TGCCTAAATGCTTACAAGAAGGAAAATCAAATATTTGCAGAGAAAGAGCAGTTCTGTCAAAACCAAATAGTCTATGAAACATGCTTATTGCATGCTTTATTGCAAAATAAGTCCCTAAATTATTGAAGTACTATGGATTTGTAGAAACGTCAAGAACCAAATACATATCTAGACCAACTGTTAGTTGATATTTCAATTATCAGTTACTTTGATTTCTACCTTAAACATTCTAGTCCTACAGAGTAAGGGGTGCATTGTTTTACATGTGATCTCTTTTAAGAGAAAAATAGGAATCAAAATGATTATGTATACTTGAAGTAATAATGATCACACATATTCAATGTTACTTAAAGTAGTTGTTATCTTTGTTTACCACCAAAGTAAATTTCTTTCATTTAATGCCTCTAAATAGTTATATATGGATATAACTATTTAGAAAAACAAGAAGTTTGTTGTATATTGTGGTGAATCCTATAATCCTGGCATTCAGGAGGTAGAGGCAGGAGGGCCGAACGTTCAAGGTCAAACTGAACTACATAGTTAACATATTGGCATCAAGCAAGCAAACTATTTCAAATACAGTACCTATGTTTAAGGGTCAGTGAATTTAAGTATTAGCATTAACATAGAGGAGAGAGGATAAACACTGACAGATACAGCTACCGATAGGAATGATGAAGCTGGATTACCATCTTCCTCTCAATAATTACTTAAGGAGATCCTGTTACTCTTACAGTATTCTCTTAAGAAGAGAATAGGCTTATAGAAAACTCACATGAGTGAGAAAAAGAAAACCAAATCAAAACATGAAATGAGATGTTCCAAAGACAGAAGCTGACCAAGTGGAAAATACGTGACATAGACAGTAGTATCTTGAGAGTTAGGAAGGAGACGGTAGGCCATGGAGGTAGTGAATCAAGTGTGGGAGTGGGAATGTTTGCGTGTGTCTGGGGATATTGATTTAGATGGTCTGGCTCATTAAAATTTTAGTTTAAGAAAATGGAGTTGGAAAATCTTATGGATGCCTATGAACTTGAGAATAAGAGGTCAGGCTTCATATATTAGGTTTATGTTTCATAAACGTGACTGCAATTTAGAATTCCATGGGAAACATTAGGAATACTGATGCCAAGCTGGGTACCAGCGGCTCAGGCCTGTAAACCTAGCTACTCAGAAGGCTGAGATCTGAGGTTGGAGGTTTGAAGCCAGCCTGGGATGGACAGTCTATGTCCATCTCCCACTAACCAGCAAAAAGCCAGAAGTAGAAGTGTGACTCAAGTGTGGCTGGCAAAGTGCCAACCTTGAATGAGAAAACCACATGAGAGTACGAAATTCTGAGTTCAAGCCTCACGACTGGCACAAAATAAAAAGGAAGGAAGGAAAGAAGGAAGGAAGGGAGGGAGGGAGGGAAGGAGGGAGGGAGGGAGGGAGGGAGGGAGGCAGGCAGGCAGGCAGGCAGGCAGGCAGGCAGACAGGCTGATGCTTCAATCTTATACCCAGAGATTCTGATTTAACTTTCCTGGCAATCAAGGTTTTAAAAGTTTTTAAGTGATTCTAATAGGTGGTCAGGTTGAGACCTCTGTTTGGCCAATTTGGTTTCAGCATCAATTGAATATTAGAATCCACAGGAGAAATGTTTGAGACAAAGCCAAAAACAACACAGAAAATAGTTTCAAACCAAATGGACTTGGTTAAGAGAACTGATTTAAAAATGTAAAAGTGCTAGTCATACAGCAGCAAAAACACAGTTCAGTTCACAAATGGAGAAATGATTACAGTACCCATTTCTTTGGAAAGGGTTCACAAATAGCATCATTCATCATTACAGAGATGCAAATCAAGCCATGGAGAGATAACACTTGATACACATGAATGTGGCTTTGAGAAAAGAGAGACAATAAGAAGTGTTGGTAAGAAAGTAGAGAAAATGGAACCTGTGTATAGGGCTGATGGGAATGTGACATGGAAATGGAACAGTTGTTTGGGCAAACATTCCTGCAAGTCCTCCAAAAACTGAACACAAAATTATCATATGACTCAGCAATTCCACTACTGGTGTATATCTAAGAGACAACACACACACACACACACACACACACACACACACACACACACACAACACAAATGTTCAGAGTGGCCTTATTTGAAGTAAGGAGATTAGGTCTGGCATGTGCCATATTGGCCACATGGTCTAGCATCTTGTCTTCATGCTGGGGGAAGAAAACCCCCTGCCCATCACCTGCCTCCCAGGTGATGGGCATGTCCAGACCTCTGGAGGCAGGGGCAGACACTTGGCTGATAGGTTACTGAATCTGTCAGTCCAGTGCCTGGGACTGGGAATTTCCTGAGGATCAGGCCCCTGCGTTGACCTATTTAGGCCTGGACCAGTCTAGCCAAGAGGTAACGCCACGCGTGTCTCTGAGATCGTGTCCTGTGTCCTGTCTCCTGGCTCATCTCCAGTCATCATGGTGTCCCAATAAAGGTCTCGTTGGAGCGGAATTGGCTTATTGGTATTTTTTGTTATTTCCTTCCTCTTTAGTATGTTTCCTAGCTGTGTTATGTGTATTTGCATGCTGCAGGCCTTTGTAACATGGGCGACCTGCAGCCTGTTAACTGTATAATAAAGACTCTAATATTCTATATTTTAAAATGTGGCTTCTGGGATGATTCACCTTACAACATATTAACAATAACCTAAAAGTGATTAATGGAAATCCAAAATGTGGTATATTCAGATAGTGGAATTTTGTTTGGCCATAAGAAGCAATAGAGTTCTGACACATATTATACATATTACACATATTACACATAAACCTTGAAAACATTATGCTAAGTGAAAGAAACTAGGTATAAAAAGCTTCGTATTGTATGATTCTATTGATATCAATTGTCTTCAGTAGGAAAACACACAGATATAGAATAGCTCAATTGAGAAGAATGCACAGAAAGGAGATTACTTGCTTCCCAAAGTTAAAAAAGAGAGGAATAGAGATGACTTAATGAATTGGAAATTCCCTTGGGGGGAAATGAAAATGTCTTGGAATCACATTGCGGTGATCCACTCACAATTTTGTGAATAGACTATTTAAAAAACAACAACCATTGAACTGAACACTCATTTACAGCACATCACCACCACCATCCTTACTTGTACTAATTAAATCAGAATTTATGGGAATGGGAGAATGTGGACATGTTTTCTCTCTAAAATTTCTAATGTTTATATATATGTGTATATATATATATATATATACACATATATATAAACTACTATTGTACATCATGACACAAACCTAGAAATTGAGTTTTATGCCTTGTATTCAAGCAAAATAAAACTTCAGAGTACATGAATTTAAACTCAGGTTGAATGGGGATAGAGGAGAGAATGGCAAGAGGTGGCACTGTTCAAGATGCATTAAACATATAAATTAGCATGCTGAATAGAAACCCCTTTGTATGACTATTTAAAAATAATTAAAAATGAATTTAAAGCAAATAAACCTAGGTTAAATTATAAATTTCATTTTAACAGATTCTGATTCTATTTGACCTTTCAAGTGTGAATGTGGGTGTTACTTAAAGTAATCTTTTTTTGAAAAAGATGAAAAGATGATTACTAGCAATCTCCCAAAACAATAGCAAGAATGTTTCTGTTTGTATTGAAATTTAAATTGAAAACAAAAATGCTATTAGTTTACTTCTGAAAAGTTGAGGTCAAAACCCCTGTGAGTCCTTTGGCTGCAAAGTTGACTCTCACTGATTCTTCTAAGTGTTTCTTAGGTGGTGTGGGTGACTTGTGTCTTTAGCTCTGTTTTTGCTCATTATTTCCTTAGTGACTTTAGACAAGCTGATGTTTAGGCCTCTGAAGTCATTTTTTAAAAGAAGGATATGTTGTCATGTGGTAGCAATGGGGATAAACAGAGAAACAATGTCAACATGTTCTTTATAGAATTGATAACATAGCTGTACTTCCTTTGCTTTAAAAGAAGACACTGATGTGTTGCTCTCTTATCTCAATAGCATGAAGATAGAAGATGATCTAGATACAATAGCTCTTGTTGAACGCTTTATCCTCTGAGACTTATCCTACTCTTGGAATGTCCAATGATCAAAGTCAGAAAGTTCCAAAACTTTTAAATGCATTCATAAAATCCAGTCTTACAAGTTAAAAACAAAAATTTTTGTACATTAGTGTCAGACTTCCAAGGATATCACTTAATCAGGAATTCAGCCCAGTGTGTGATGAACATTTTAGGAATCTCAATACAGATTCAAAAACTCCCTGTGTATGGCTGTGGTACTCATTGTAAGAAAAAAAAAAAAAAGCAGAAAGGTCAACCCAACAGATCAACAGGCTTTATTTGGCCTGAAAACCTGGGAAGGGCCACCAAGTCTTCTTCAGCCTGGTTGAAGAGGTGCATCCCCTTTAAAACGAGGGTCTCTGTTATTAGGCAGAAAAAGTGAAGTCAGGTGGGGCAGATGGAAGTGGGGTGAGATGGAGGTGAGGTGGGAGAGCAATCTTATTTTAACTGAGGAGTTTCAAGTTCTCAACAGCTTCTGTGTCCACCAGGGGCATCAGTGCCAGATGTGGCCTTGGTCTCAGGCTCTCTTCCAAGACCTCTTGGTGCCTTTGTTTAGGGGCAAGGAGAGGGGAAATGGTTCAGTGGTGTTGGCAGCCAGGACAGTTCTAAGATACAGCTGTCAGGGGGAAAGGTGAGTGCTTTCGATTCATTTTCCATCACTTACTGCCAACAGAAGCCCTCATTTTACCTTCCAGGTAGAACATGCTCCTTGGGCCATTTAAAGGAAGATGAATACATTACCAAAATGTGAACTTTTAAAACTGGGTACAACATATCACTCCAAGAGATAGTGTAACTTTATCTGCCAAGAGAAAGCCTTTGCTGGGAGATCTATTTCTTTGATTAATTAATCCATTTAATTTCAAGGAAAGAACATTTTTATATTCTGGTTCTAAATACATGATTTTTTTCCTCTAGAAAATAAGATTTTGGTGAAGCAGTCACCCTTGCTTGTGGTAGATGACAATGAGGTCAACCTGAGCTGCAAGTATACCTACAATCTCTTCTCAAAGGAGTTCCGGGCATCCTTGTATAAGGGGCTGGACAACGCTGTGGAAGTCTGTGTTGTGAATGGCAATTTTTCCCATCAGCTTCAGTTTCACTCAAATACTGGGTTCAACTGTGATGGGAATTTAAGCAATGAAACAGTGACTTTCTACCTCCGGAATTTATATGTTAACCAAACAGATATTTACTTCTGCAAGATTGAAGTCATGTATCCTCCTCCTTACCTCGACAACGAGAGGAGCAATGGGACCATTATCCACATTAAAGGTAATATGTGAATGTAATATGTAAAGGTAATATGTGAAGCCTACCCTTGTACCATCCTGAAGTCCTGCCCCTGTTCCACTCTGGAGTCCTGCAAACTAGGTGATGGTGGTAGAAATGAGGTAGAATAGTCCCAAACGGGATCAATGCTAATAAAGATCAATCATGTTCTTTTTTTTTGTAATTTTTTTTTTTTAACTTTAGAAAAGATTGAATTTGGGCTGGGAAGGTGGTTCAGTGGTAGAGTGCTTGCCTTGCATGCATGAGGCCTTGGGTTCGATTCCTCAACACCCCATAAGCAGAAAAAGCTGGAAGTGGCACTATGGCTCCAAGTGGTAGAGCGCTAGCCTTGAACTGAAGAGCTGAGGAACAGCACCCAGGCCCAGAGTTCAGGCCCCACTACTGACCAAAAAAAAATAAAAGAAAAGATTGAGTTTTTTTGTCCATAACTTTACTTTCCTTCATTGACATTGATTGGTAGATGGGAGATGACATTATGGTCAATAGGAAAGATCCCATAAAATATTCTAAATTTGAGAGGGTCATGGGGGGTAGGGGGTAAAGTACAATATAAACCTAGGTGTCTTTGAGGAAGCAACTGAGTGGCATGGGTCAGGACTCAGGAAGAATGGGTTCTGTTTCAAAGGAACTGTCTTTTTGTGCTGCATGGTCTTTCTCTGTTCAGTGCTTTTCCATTTCTCCAAACACACAAAGAATGATGGACTAGGACAGGAGATACGATGTAAAATTTGATAACAATCAACTTTGTTATTTGGGGTACACTGCTGGACAATGCTTCGTGTCATCAAGTGCAGTATTATTAGACAATACTAATGAGTCAGAGGAAATAAGTCCACTGAGCTTATATTGAGGTTAAATTCTCTGAAAACATTGGGGAGAAAAATTATAAGATTCTCAAGCTCAGAAAAATACAATTTATTTATCAATACAGAAACATAAAAGAGGTCTTCAGAGAGATACTTAGTTACACTTTGTGGCTACACAATAGCTTTCCTTTTCTATAGAATGTTAAGCAAGAAGATAAATGCTCAGTTTTATATTTAATACTGGCATAATTTCTATAAATGCTTGTTCTCCTATCCTGAAACAGAGATCTACTGGAGAAAAATCAAATACTGAATAAGGAATGAACCATTCATGGAATATGTCAGAATAATTTTGTGTTTTGGCAAAATAGAGCCAATTAATGTGAGAATGTTACTGAATCTCATTTAAATTTCTAATATCCATAATGCCCAAGCAGAGACAGACACAGTGAGTCATGTCTATAATTCCAGCTACTCAGTCAGCAGAGATCAAGAGGACTGAAGCTTAAGGTAAACCAGGCACAAAGTTAGTGAGACCAATCCCCATATCAACAAACAAGCTAAGCATGATGGTACATGTCTGTAATACCAGCTACACGGAGACATAGGTAGGAAAATTTTAGCCCAAGGCTAGGAAAAAAAGTGTGAGACCATATCTAAAAAAATCACTAAAGCAAAAAAGATTGAGTGTGATTCAAAAGGTAAAGGTTTTCCTAGAGAACATAAGGTCCTCAGTTCAATTCCTAGGACTGACAAAACAAACAAAAAGGAATCTATACCTAATAATCTTGATTTAAAAAGAACATTTTAAAAGCTAAGAATTTTGCCCATATAAATGCTATAATCCTTTGTACAACTACTTATATCCTAATATATACTAATATATATAATATACTTTTATATATATAGGCACATATAAACAAACTTCCTCCAATAATTTAATGTGTAATCAGGATTAAAAATGCTCAGAATAGCCTGGTGCCGGTGGCTCATGCCTGTAATCCTAGCTACTTTGGAGGCTGAGAGCTGAAGATCTCAGATCTCAAAGCCAGCCTGGGTATTGATAAATCTGTGCTATTCTTACCTCCAGTTAACTACCCAAAAAAGCCAGAAGTGGAGCTGTTGCTCAAGCGGTAGAGTATTAGCCTTGAGCAACAAAGCTCAGATAGTGCTCAGGCCCTGAATTCAAGTCCCAGAACTGGCACATCCCCACAAAAATGACATGTATGCTCTGATTACTAGTTCACTACTCTGACTGCCATACTATGCTGCTTTTCCTAAGGCTTGAAAACATGTGTATCATTTTACTTACTTCAAAAAGACAGTTTAGGTCTAGATGATTAGGCAGCTAATGGGAGAGTGGACTCCACAAAGTTAGGTAAATGCAGGTCTGCAAGTAGTAGTTTTCTAACTTTTCTTGAAAACTGAGCTAGTCCATTTAGGAGTAGTTACTAATAGTTTCATGTCTTCCATGTTTTTCTCTGGGTGTTAGTGAAGTGAACTTAACTGTCATTTCCATGTTGTTAGATCCATTCTGTTCTGTTTTCCAGAGAAACATCATTGTCCTGATCCCCAGCCTTCTGAGCCTAAACCCTTTTGGGTATTGGTGGTGGTTGATGGAATCCTGGCTTTCTACAGCTTTCTAGTAACTGTGGCCCTTTGTGTTTTCTGGGTAAGAGAAGCAACACAGCTTTTATGTAATTTTTCCACTGCACATACAATCTGAACATATCAAGAAGCTATTCTATTTACTATAGCTTTGATGGGTGTGAGAGACAGCCCTGGATTCAGTCATGTTTTTGGATTATCTGTTCCTTCTCCTCCTCCTCCTCCGCCTCCTCCTCCTTCCTCCTCCTGTTCATCATTATCTTTGTCTTCTTTTTTAATATATATATATATATATATATTATTGTAAAGATACTGTACAGAGGGGTTACAGTTACATGAGTAAGATAATGAGTACAATTCCTATTGAGCATTGTTACCCCCTCCTTTGTTTCCCCCCTATCATCCCTCCCCCAACCCCATGCCTGAAGTTGTAAAGTTTGTTTTCAACATAGTGTCTTGTACATCTCATTGTTACAATGGGTCAACCTGTTCTTCATCTCGTTTTCCTTTTTGACCTGCCTCCACCTCCACCACCTCTTCCTTCTCCTCCTCTTCCTCCTCATTATACAAGAGGCTTTCAGTCTTAGATCATCTTAGTCCTTTTGACCTCTTACTAACATTTGCTTCTTCATTATTCCCTACAAGTTACCTGTAGTTCAGAAGACCCTTGGGGGAAAGCAGGGAACAAAAAGACTTCTTGTCCCTGGGAATTCTATTTGTTTTTTACATTACAATTTACTCCAGATGTTTGGTGAATGATTCAGTGGTAAAAACAACAACTTTTATTCCTTTATACATTTACGACCTTTAGCATAGATTTATAATGAATATTTTATACATCTGTCCTTTAATATAGAAAACAGAAGAGTTACAGAAGAGAGTAATAATGCTACTTTAAAGCTTTAGCTAGGTGCTTACCTTTCTCAGTGATATTTATTCTGTATGGTGCTTTCAGTTTCCATCTTGTGTGTTTCCCTGAAAAACGAAATGAGAAGCATTTCTTGGAAGGATTGTCCTCCAAACTCCCTGAGACTTTGCATGTCATAAGTTTTCCTTTGCTTTTAAAGGGTACTTTTGTTATTTAAAATTGCTGGCTTATAGGATTATTTTTCTTTCAACAATTTGAAAGTAGTGTTTTTGTTAGTACAAAAAGTCAAATTTTTATACTGGTAGCATCTTGGGAATTTTCTCAATTTGCCCTCTACAATTTGCCCAATTTTTATGGGGAGAGGGGACTTTAATACAACAAGATTGCCCAAATTCTGCCTCTGATGTTAGTTGAAAAGTTTCATCTTTCTGGATCTTGAGTGGGTCTTCATTCTAGGTCTCTTCCAGATTTGTGGTAGCTGTTAATGATTTTAGAATTTTTAGCGTTCTTAGTTGGTATTTTTTTTCCTTCTAATCCTGGCCATTGACTTCTTATGCCTGTTTCTAGTCCTCACATTGAGAATCTCAACTTCTTAATCTAATGACCAGATGTCATGGCCCCTTGGGAGCCATATGGTGATCTGGGAAAGGCTGGCCTAAATCTAAGAAATTTACTAGCTTTATGAAAGTAGTTTGGGAACTGCTTTAACTTTCAGTGGCCAAATGAGTTCTTTCCATCATTTAGAAATTATGGTAAATATGTGTTCAAATATTAGTTTTTAAAATGAGGTGCTAATTTCCTGAGTGACTACAGTCCCACCAAATAAAACAAACACAGCTTCTCACTTTTAATGAATTTAAGCAATTAACTTTCAAATCAACATACATCATAGATGTATGAGTTTTTCTTTGGCATCCTATTAATTGCTAATCAAGTTCATCTTGTTTATCTCAAAACAAACTTACTTTGGTTTTATTCTATCTCCCAGACTCCTCTTGAGTTAGGCAGTGTCAGTGACATGTCATCTGTAAACTCTTGTAGTTAAATCGGATTATCTAATAAGAATACCCTTTAAGTGCACCTCAAAAATAGGTCTGTGTATTTTCTAACTAATGAGTACAAATAGCAATATGTCTACACTTCACAGTATGATGTATCATTTTTATCTTGGGCCATCATTTCCTGCTGCTGTTATTTAAACAACAAGCACCTTGATGAGCTAGGCATCTAGGCCATGAGGGATCTCTAGGGTTTAGCCACTTCCTGGGAAATTTACTGGGCTCCTATTTTTGGCTAGTCTATAGCTTGCTTGGTGAAAGTTGCTATTTTCTGTTACTTCCTGAGGGCCCATGATATGCTACTGTAGGCTGTTCTAGGCTGAGTGGGTTTCTGGGAACAGCTGCAGATTCTATCTCAGTTCTTGACCTGAGGTTGACATTTGAGTAAATAAAAACCTCTTGGTCAGGCTATCATGGACAAGCACCTGCTATTCTCACTCACTGTTCACTTAGCTGAGTAATAATCCATTCCATGTAGCCTTTTAAAATCATGATCTTCAAAGGAACTTTTAAAACCATGCTCTTCTCTGCTGCATGGGAAAAGCAATGTGGGAAATGTGGACAGTGTATGGTCAGGTACTATTGCCTTTAAATCCAGTACATTCTTGAAGACCATTTCCTTTCTGCTTTTTTTGAGGGGTGGGAAAAGGGTTGGGGTTTGAATTCAGGGCCTCACATTTGCTAGGCTGGCACTCTCTACTACTTGGGCGATAATCTCAAGCCTTGGTTTTAGCTGGTTATTTTGGAGATGGAGTCTCACAGACTTTTCTGCTGTGGCTGGCTTCAAACCATGATCCTCCAGATCTCAGTCTCTTGAGTAGCTAGGATGACTGATGTGAGCCATGGGTGCCAGACTTATTGTTGTTGTTGTTTTTTAAATGCATTGACTTGTGTATGCTCTGTGTGTTCCTGTTAACTCCCAGGAAACAAGCGAATAAGGCAGAGTAGTAGCAAGGGCAAAGGAGGAGTGTCCCTGGGGGGACAGAGGGCACCGACACACAGGCCCATAGTGGGGTACTCTGGGCACAGGTATCTGCATATGTTGGATGCACATTGCCACTGTGAGTTATGGGTACTATTCCCAGTCATGTTATTTCTATCCTAATGTTATTTTCATTCTAACGTTGCATTTAGACTGGATAGTAGTAACCAAATTTACTTAATGATAATACTGGGAGGATAAGATGTGAGCTGATTGCAGATTTTCATCATCTTTGTGTGTAACATGGGGTACCTCAGCGAAAAGACATCCTTATTACTGGGACCTCCTTGTGAACTATAATTTCATCCTTGTCCAGAGACCAGAATTGTTAGTTGGGGATTTGGCAAAGGGCTTCTCTAGGGTTAGAGTAAGTGCTAAAAATGATTCCTGGGCTATCAGTAGCAGCATTTACACCCTATTTGGGGCAAGCATTTCATTGGCTTAACATTGCTCTCATGTAACTTGATGCCCAAGACAGTCCTAGACTTTTATTTATAGAAAGGATGTAGAATCAAGCTATTTGAAGAGCAGTATCACAGGCTTGGCTCTCACATGTTCTTCCATCTGAACAAATTTTCCAATTATATTTGCTATCTTTTCTTCTTTGGACCAGGTAGAAAGGCTAGCTAGCATCTCATGGACCAAAGCTGAATTTATACCCTTTGCTTTCAAATTTACTTCTATTATTGTGCATTATACCTTTGTGTGGAACACTTTGTCTTCTAGTTACCTAGGCTCAAACTATCAAACATCTTTTAGTCTAAGAAGGAGCCAGGCAGCCTAGCAATATGTGTTCCAATTTGGTGACATATTTTATATTCATTGTTTTCCTGTCATCCCATTATTTTTTATGGTCATATTATTTAGATGAGGATTTTCTAATCTTGATACCATTGATGATTTGGGTTAGGTAATTTGTTGTTGTAGGACTTGCCCTGTGCATAGTAGTTTGCTTAATAGCATTTCTGGCTACTACTCTGTACATGCTAGTGACATCCCTTCCTGTTCTGACACTTACAAATGTCTTTGCAATGCTTGATAAGAAATGTACTCGTTATCTTGCCCATGTGATTGTATTGCTCTGTACGGTATTCTCACAATAAAAAAAAAATAAAAAAAGAAATGTCTTTGGACCTTGCCAACTGTCCTTTGGGACAAAGGGGTAAGAGAAATTGAGATGTCACGGTTAAGGCTTAGGAGGTCTGACTTGGGCAACTATATCTATGGAGTGTCATTTTTTTGATATGAGGAACACAAGGAAGAAATCAATTTTAGGAGAAGACCTTGACCTTTGTTTTGGACCTGTTAGATATAGCATACTTTAGAAATCTAGTCCATACATAAACATTCAGATGAGTAGGTGGTAATTGAACCTGAGAATGTGAATGAGGATTGTCTAGGGAGAGAGGACAAAATGACTAGATGAGAAGAAATTCTAATATTGAATGGCTGGAGAAGGATGAGCCCACAAGAGCCAGAAAAGGAGACACAGAGGATGAAACTGGGATGTCACAGAAGGCAAAGAAGAGTATTAAAAATAATAATAAAAGGAACAAGCCTGGCACTGGTGGCTCACTCCTGTAATCCTAGCTACTCAAGAGGCTGAGATCTGAGGATTGAAGTTCCAAGCCAGCCCAGGCAGGAAAGTCTGTGAGACTCTTATCTCCAATTTACCACCTGAAAACTGGAAGTGGCGCTGTGGCTCAAGTGGTATAGCACTCACCTTGAGCTGAAGAGCTGAGGGACCAGGCCCAGAGTTCAAGCCCCACGACTGACCAAAAAAAAAAAAAAAAAAAAAAAGGAGCAAGTAATCAGTAACAGCTTTCCTTGGTATCATAACTGGGATTGGTTCTTCAAGCACCAAAAAATTGAGAGACACTCAAATATCTTCTATAAAATGCATAAACTTTACATCATCTCTAGATTACTTATCCTACTTAATACGCTATGTATATAGCATATATATACTATATATGTATATACATACTATATATACTATATATGTATAGCATATATATATGCTATGTAGGCAGTTCTATTGTTCAAGGAACAATGACAAGAATATCATTTTGAGTATTTTCTCTGTGTTATTAATTGAGTCTATAGATAAAGAGCCTATGATATGGATGACTAGCTATGTAGAATGGTGGTGAGAGTTCAAGAAAATATGGCTGAAAACTTGTTAGTAGTTTTCAAATCTTATACTCTTTTGACAAGGAAGGTGTGAAGGCTCAGATAGGAGTGCATGGAAATGAGGCCAGGGCTAAAGTCACTCATTCTTTTAGTTTGATGTCAGTTATGTCCAGTGTGTCTACTCATGCATTAGGCCTCTGTGCCTAGAAATAAACGTTGTTTTCCATGGCAGAGAATTCTAAATCCAGATATTCAGGTAAATTTCTACTTTTAGAAATTTTATGGATGTTTTATCACAAACAAATCTTGTCATTCCATTGATCCAGAAATGATACTCTTAGCTCACAGTCATAGCCTCCAGTCAAAAGCTTTGCCATGATTCATGGTGTGCTTAACCCTTGATCCACATTCATCTTGACTTTTAATTCCTACTCTGGATAGAAATTTAGTTTGAAGCCGGGTGCTGGTGGCTCACGCCTGTAATCCTAGCTACTCAGGAGGCTGAGATCTGAGGATCGCGGTTCAAAGCCAGCCGGGGCAGGAGAGACCGTGAGACTCCTATCTCCAATAAACCACCAGAGAACCAGAAGTGGCGCTGTAGCTCAAGTGGTAGAGTGCTCGCCTTGAGCTGAAGAGCTGAGGGACAGCGCCCAGGCCCAGAGTTCAAGCCCCATGACCGACAAAAAAAAAATAAAAATAAAAAAAAATAGAAATTTAGTTTGAAATAATGGTGGATACATTATTGTCTCTGTAGAACTCTGTACACACAAGGAAATAGATGTAGCTAGTTGTCTAGTACTGTAATTTGATTTGATTTGATTTAATTTGACTCCACTGTTGTGAAATTATGATTATTCCAGACTCTGGAGGAGTTGAGGGTTTTTTTCTAATTAATTGTAAAAAAAATGTTATATAAATGACTAATGTAAGGAAACTGTAATGTGAACACTTAACCAATTTTGAACAGCAAGGGCTTTCAAATAGTATTTAAATACCAATAGATACACTTTTGCAATTCAGATCAAATGATGCACAGAGATACATTTTGTTTTCTAAAATATTTCTTTTGGTTTAGCTTTCACCAGTTAATGTAGAAGAACTAATAGGTTTGAATAGTCTTTATCCAAGTGCATAGTACTTCAGAAATGCTAGTCATCTGGGTCATCAGGAAGTTGATATCCTGAATAGATGTGCCCAAGTCTTAGAACTTCTCCTTAGAATATCTTCTTAATGTCCTTCCATGTTGACCTTTCTCTTTTCTGCAGATGAATAGTAAAACCAAAAGGCTCCTTCAGAGTGACTACATGAACATGACTCCCCGAAGGCCTGGGCCCACCCGCAGGCACTACCAGCCCTACGCTCCAACAAGAGACTTTGCAGCATACCGCCCCTGACAGGGCTGCCTATCCAGAAGCCAGTTGGCTGGCGCCCCTCCAACTACTCAACACCACTGCTCTGGATAGGAAAGCAACACCTCATTTTCAGCCAGCCACCTTGTTAGGCCACCAAGCCAATTGTTCTTGAACATCTGGGCTATATTTTAAGATCATCTTGACACTGCAATGAAGTTAAGTTCCTGTGACAGGCTCAGTCTTGCTTTGTTAAGACCCCAATTCAAGCTTATCATATATTTATTGACTTGATCAAGAACTTAGAGAAGTCAACAAAAAGTGAGTGGATTCTCTCAGCTTTGAATTCTGCTCCTAGACTGCTGGGTGAGACAAGTTCCTTCCACGTTTGTTTTCCCATCTCAGTCCAGCCAGGTATGATATTCAAAGATATTTTAGATGGAGAAGAAAGCTAAGAAAATAATTTCCTTTGGTTAAATAGGTATTTAGGGTAGGTTAAACTGAGGGAGAAGGTAGTGTCACTAAATAGTTTTAAACTGTTAAAACACTTTCCTCCTTATGAAATGAGCCACTTGGTTGTTATATAATGCTATTTTCCTGTTAAAACGATGTGGACTTTAATGAATTCTGACCATGTCAGTTTAAGTCACAGAATTCCCTCAAAACATAAGTAGACTTGCTTTCTTCATTCCCAGTGATAAGAATTTTAATGTTCACAGTATGACTTCAAAAGAATGGAAGAATCCTCCCACACAAAGAAGAATGTGTCCAAAAATAAGGTCACATTATGTCAAAATGATTTGAATACTGTGATGGATTATTTGTTCAGCAGCACATTCTAGCCAAGCTGCTGTGTTTCAACTTTGTACGGTTGCTCTCTTTGTGTGGAAATCGGAAGTGAGATGCATAGAACACCCATAAGGGAAGGGATGGTATTGTGAAAGGGGAGGTTAGTGTCTGTTAAGGTACAAGGGATGAGTTCCAAGAAATTTCTTCTGAAAAAGGGATTGAAGCAATTCTTGCCATGTGCTAATGTCTGCATTGAGTGGACACTTTTCCAGAAGGCACCAAATAGAAGAATCCTTGGTGTAAGAGTTCCTTTATAGAAACTTTCAGCACTCCAGAATTCTGTGGGTTCAGTTACCCAGGTACCCAGGAGAAACATTGGCATGGAGTATGACTCTTGAAACAATGTCAAAATGCTCTTAAAAGATCTGATCTTGGAATGACTATGGATATTTTTCTGCTTCCAGTTTGGGTCAACTGAAATATACCTAAGCATCCTGAAGACTAGCTCTACTGCCTCCATTATCATTTGTTCAGTACTTTGTACTATAGGAGCCTATGTTTTAGAGGTAGAGAGAAGTGTTTCAAATCTCATCACTATTTGAATGGCCTCAGGCAAGTCACTGGTCACCTACCACTAAGACTCTTCAATTGTAAAATGGACATAATGATCACAAATATCTATCTGTCCTTGTATTATAATCTCCATGAGGGCATGGCTACTGTCATGACAGTCAAGGCATACTGTCAAGATACCATCCTAGTCTTTATTCTTGAGTATAATATTTTCACTTATTATCATATAGGTAAATTACATGTAGAAATTAAATGGGACAATGAGAACATCAAAATCCTCAATTTTTCTATTTCTTGAACTATTGTATCTTGTAATGAAATGTAAGGCATTTTCCCCACTTTGTATATAAAGAAGTCTTAATTATGTTTTAGTGTGGGAAGGAGAGGAGCCTTAGGAATCTTATGCTTCTGACAGGAAATATTGTACTCTGATTTTTAAAAATCTCTTCTGTTTTTTGTATTTAATTAATCCAGAGAAGGTCAAGTTCACCAGTAGTTGTTTGATGGACTGCTATTTTACATGTGTACTTGTGTCTAAGGCCAACCTCTTGGCACACAGAATTCTTCAATCCAAGTTATCTGATTATATTTTTTAAATTGATAGAGCTGGAGAATTTGTAGAAAGGGCAGTAGCAAAAAAATAAACACTTTTTTGTGAACATGGAAAGATTTGATCTTTGGCAATAAGTGGTTTTGTTTTCTAACTGGAAATGTAGGTTTACTAAAGATGAATCACACTTGAGATTTTTCTTACTCATGCTGAACAGAACCAAACCAAAGTCATGTTATGTAGGGAAGTCCATTTTCACTATTAGTGTGAACCTAGAAAAAGTTGAAAAACAGTGGTTGGAGTAATGCTTTTTGCAGTTTCAGATATGATAATTGTGAAAAAAACAGCATCATTTGCTATTATTACTGTAAGAGTTTATAATTCATGATATTTCTGTATTTTTAATTTGGGAGCTGAGTATGTAAATTTGGAGGCTGAGCATGTAAACCTCTAAAGACAAAGTATCCATTTACATCTTCTGCACCTAGTGCTAAAATTACCACACTATCATATACTTGTTTTTAATTTTGTGTTTAAATATTGTCTTCAGGGCATGTATCCTTTCTAGCTTACCAATACCTCCATTTAGGCCAGACTTTCATATGTTAATTTCACTTCAAGCAAGGTATACTGTTGGTTTATTGGCTTAGTTTCAGTCATAGTTTCTCATCAGGCTAATAGTTTACCTCACTGAAGGCTCAGGCTGGACTTACATGTACATTCTGTGTGATGTAAATGCTCTGTGAGAAAACTCAAAGTTCAGTCTTGAATCAGTCAGACACCTGTCAGCATGGACATTTTAATGGCTTTTTTGATTATTAAATGATGTCATTCCTCATCCCAGCTTTTTTGCATTGTCAGATGGAAATTTCAGCAGCCTCGGGGACTGATCCCAAGGTACTAAATTCAACTCCATGCTGGAAGTTAGAAATGATATCAGTAATGGATGTAGAACCAAGATAGCACTGCCCCAGGACTGCTATTAATCCACATCAATGAGAGTAGCATAGCTTCCTGCAAGGTCTAGACTCACTGAATCTTGTACCTGCAAGGTCATTTGAGGCTCGATGAATCTCTCTCTGCCTCTCTGTCTCTGTCTCTTTTCTGCCCCTCCCCATGTTTATGCATACTTTGTTTTTTGACATATTCTTCTTCAAATATCCCAGGCATGTTCCCACCTTAAGGCCTTCACATATAGATAGTACTTTTATAGAAGGTTCTTCCCTAAATATCTACCTGACTGATATCTTCTGCTTACTTTCTTGCTTATTTTTCTCTATAATATTTTATCATCTTTACACTAGTCATTTTATTGATTTGTTTATTGCTTCCCTCCCCCAAACTAGACTGTAAGCTCCATAAGGGAGAGGATTCCATCTGTTTTGTTTATTGCCCAGCATGCAATAAATATTTGATGGCTGACAAAATGAATTTCATATGGGTTTATGAATTGATGGTCCAACAAAATGGTCTAATCACACTCTGAGAAGGAGCAAACTAATTCATATTATTAAAGTCATATTTATAAGAGAAATATATAAAGCACATGTAAAGCATCTGGTGAAAGAGAATCTTGTAGATATGTTACCTACATTTTAGAAATTTTTTTGCAGTCTGGAAAACTATGTTAAAGAAGTCAAAACTAAGAGCAAGTTTATTTTCCATGGAAGTCATGTTTCCTCTTATTGGAGTATCGACCATGCTTTAACTATATGATTAGACTAATCCTCTGAAAATGTTGTTTTTGTTGTTAAAACTGCTTTCTCCTACTGAAGCTCTGCTCTTTCCTATGAAGTGATCTTACACCAACAAATTCTATAAATTTCTGGCTCTGATTCAAGAAGAGCTCACAAATGGAAATTTGAGGACAGAAAATGTAAGCATCTTTACCTGTCATGCTCATGTCATAACTGAGCTCTTAGATAACTCGCAACAGTTTCAAAGTAAAAGAATGAATAACAAACCAATAAAACTTGCAGCACTTGGAGAAAGAATTGGATTCAGATGCAGAGAGTAACAGGGGGGAATTTTATCTAAGTATATTATATACATGTATGGAAATATTGTGAGATACCCTCTCATGAAATTAATATATGCCAATGAAAAAATTTTAAAAATCAACTTTATTCAACACATACGCACACATTCGACTACTAACTTGTAGGTAGGGAAGGCCCTTGAACAACAAACAGAACTTTTCTGAATATTCACAGAGCAGTTCCAGTTTCCTTGGTTGCAAATTTTAGTCTAAGAGTCAAATAGGTGGACCAGGAGTTGTTAAATAAAGTGTAATAAAGGCAACAACAGCTTGGAAAAGATGTATAGTCACTCATGAGTGGTTCTTCAGGACTAATCAACTGCAAAAGGATAAGATTGGTTAAAACAATCCTGGCTAGTAAATAGATCTTCATAATAAGCTGTCCTTTTACTGTATTAATAAAAATTTTAAAAGAAACAAAAAAACACTCATTTATTCTAGTACCTTGACACTTGAGTTCAAGATGGAAACCGATGTGAACATCATTTCTTCACCTGACAGACCTTCCACCATGTTCTGGATACAAAAATATATGAGCTGTGTAAATGCCCACAATCCTGAGTTCACTCCTTTCCTCCAGTCTGAGAAACAAAGAATTCACTCCCTTTTAAGCAGCAGATCTGCCTTCTCTTCCCCTCATCTGGAATAGAGATGATGGAAGGGTGAGAAAAATCAGAGGAGAAATGTCTGAATCTGTTGTACCACAATAAGCAGGGGTAACTAGGATGCTCTGGAAGCCACTGGATGTTGCTGGATGTTTTCATAACTAAAGTCTTACCGTTCTACTTAGGCTTTGCTCAAAGCCTTATATTTCAGTAGCGTTCCTTGAAGTTTGTCCTAGAAGTTTGGATCTTCAAGAACACATCGGAGGGGCCAGATCTCCCCATTCTCTCTTGTCTAGCCTTCCAGGAACAAGGTGCACTTTTCCCTTTGAAGATTCAGAGGCTGCCAGTGCACAGGACCTCAGGCCAGTGTCCAGAGAAGAATGGCTCACTTTCTCAGCATGCCTTTTGTTAAACATCTCAGGGTGTTGACATTGGGCCTAATGCTTGAAAATCTCTTGGGATGAAATTTGGATGATCGAAGAATGTATCAGTTTTCCTCAGCTGATGTTACTCTTGGAACAACACCAAGGGCCAAAATATCTGCTTCAAAGACCATTCCTTTTATTTGGTCATGTAAACTCTGTATAAGGGTCTGGAGTGCCAGATTCTCAAGAGAGGATAAGTCATTATAAAAGGTAATTGATCTCAGGGCAAGATGATTGGATTTTCACTTGTATTTCATTGGGCAGAGCTATCTCAGTGATAGATTTAAATGTTTCTCTGTCTCCAAAGAAGAAACTGTGAGCTGGGTGGAAATGTCAGTTGAGGCCCAAGAGTAGCAAACAGCTTTGTTTTCCTATAGCTGTGGTTTTACATGGTGGTGATGACACACGAAGATGAAAATGTGCAGCATGAACTCCAGTTGTTATCTGCGTGAGCATCTCTGCCAACGCTGAGGGATATGTGTGGGTGTCACCTGCAGAGAGAGAGAGAGAGAAAGAGAGAGAGAGAGAGAGAGAGAGAGAGAGAGAGAGAGAGAGAGAGAGAGGAGAGTGCCGCCATTTCAGAAAGAAGTCAGTTAAATAAACATCATCAGTGACAAGTGATGTTGTTTATTTCATGAACTTCATATTCAATTTTCTTTCTCATGTTAATGTCCATATCTGCATTTAATACCTGAACTAAATTTATGAGTATCTGGTGACTAAGGGAAGGGGTGGAAAAAATGGCCTTGAATGAATTTCTCCCACTTTATGCATGGCATTGTGGGTAAAGAGTCTTAGGAACTACATGATTTTCCTTCCACAGAAGATAGAAATATTGTGTATATCTGTGTACTGTGTGCCCTGCTCAAGGCCTCTAATGATGATGATAAGGGCTGAAATCCACTCAGGATCCTCTTAGGAAGGATGCACCTGCTTCTTAAAGGAGTGAGCAGGTGCCTGTCTCTAATATGTCCTGGGGACTACGGTGGTCCTAACAGAATGTTAACCTTTCTACTACTAGGTAACAGAACTTTGTATCCTCAAACCAGAAAATACCTACCAATGCATATCAATTAAAGCAAAATAAAACAAAATAGATTCTTAATACCATAAACATTTCTCTCCTGAGTCCCTTCTTTAGATTTTCCTTCCTGTTGTCTCTGCATACTTTCATATATTCTTGACATATATTGGGTGAGTTTAGCAAGGTGAGAACAAACTTCTTGGTTTAGATCTCAAAGGAAAAACAAATAGGTTTTGGTGACCTGTAAAATACTAGGTGTGGGATTAGTTCTGGGGATTAACTTTTCAGTTAATGGAGGAGTCTACACATATTTCCCAGTGCCTAGTACCATGAGTGGAGTAGAGTAAGTTACTTCATCTCATTCTTATAATACTTTTCATACTCTGGAGCTCTTCTAGAATTATCTTCTCCAAAGGAATACAACTGGCTTGCATTTTTTCCATCACTGCATTTCTAAGTCATAGAGAAATATTTTATTTTTTGAGATTTGCTAATCAGAATTATTTGAAAAACCTCTAAATATTTGAAATCTATTATTTCATGTAACTTACTATTAAAATATAAGTTACTTCTTCTTTGTCTTTTATTTGTCAGTCATGGGACCTGAACTCTGGGCCTAGGCACTGTCCCTCAGCTCTTCAGCTCAAGGCTAGTACTCTACCACTTGAGCCACAGTGCCACTTCTGGCCTTTTCTGCTTGTGTGGTGCTGAGGAATTGAACCCAGGGCCTCATGCATGCAAGGCAAGCACTCTACCACTGAGCCACCTTCCCAGCCCTGAGTTACTTTTTCTTAAGGAAATAATGATATTTGTTTTGGCAGCACTAGGGTTTGAACTTGGGCTTTATGCTGGCAAGGCAGTTGTTCCACTGCTTGAGCCACATCCTCAGTCCTTCTTTTTACTTCAGTTATTTTTCAGATAGATTTTTGCATTTTTTCCCTGGAATTCCCTCAGACTGCCAATTTCCTGCCTGTGCCTGCTATGTAGCTAGAATTACAAGTGTGATCCACCATGCTTGACATATTGATTGTGATGAAGTCTTGTTAATTTTTTTGTGTAAGCTAGCCTTTAATTATTTTACTTCCAATCTCTGCCTCTTGTATAGTTTAGGACTATATGCATGGGTTCAGAAACAAAAAATTCTAAATACAGTGTTAGATTGGAATGAATATTATCATACATAAATCTTTCT